GAAAAAGAGGGTCCGTAATTTCACCACCCCACCCCACCCCACCCCACCCCAATTAACGCGAAAGATCTGGCAAATACAGCGGAAACGAGGACAGAAAAATTCTTACGGGAGAGGTAGAAGCTGGATGTGAATGCTGAGTTCCTCCGTGCTGTAGACGTTGAGGAGGCGCTTCACCGTTGGCCAGGCCGCTTTGCAATCTGGACAAAGCGGATCGATGAAGATGTCCATATCGACGTCTGCCCCACATTCTGCACGAGCGGGAAACCCCCTGGGCCTTCTTGGCACTTCCCCATTCCAGGCACCACTACTCCCAATCAAGTTGAGAAACACCACAAACAAAAGGAACATTGGGCGAGCCGCCGACAACGGCCTAGAACAACGTCCCCGCTGAATTGCTTGCCCCATCCTCATTCCAATTCTACCCCCCTCTAAGTGCTGGATATCAGGGCGGCTATGGCGGCACAGGCCAACTTGCACAGTGCCGAGAATAGTAGTAGCTATGTCGCTCTGGAGTCGAGAGACTGAAAATTGGCGATGACCGCGAGGCCGACAGGGAGGGGAAGGTGAATTGTGGCGTACACGCAGTAACCGATGGCCGACAAGTAAAACACGCGCGGCGGGAAAGCACTCCACGCCAGAGCAGAAATGTCAGTGCTTGGCGCTTTTCTGGCTAAAGCCTTGGATTATTCACAAAAAAAGTATCGATATTGCCGGGTTCCAGGTGGGGCGGGGTCATAAACCAACGGCCTCGCTCCACCACTCTCGAGATGTGCAAAACGAACTCTCGAGATGTGCAAAACGAGAGCGAATCGTACGCTTGAACACGGAAAGATACACCGCCATGATTTTTGTCTTTTGTGCATGTCAAGAGTAGTGGAGCAAGTCCCGTCAACTTCAGCGCCCTGGCGCTGTGTCGGAGCTAAGAAACCACGCATCTGGTCGGAGAAGCTGTCCAGTTTCTGCTGGCTTAGCACAAACTATAACACATATACGCCCAGCGAAGCGTCGCCCCGCCCTCGGCACTGCGGGCGCGCATGAATATGGTCGAAACCGGGCCGAGGGCGCGGATGAATATGGTCGAATCCGACCTGGGGCGTGGTCCCTCTAGCAAACAGGATTGGATCGAATGCCTGAATCTGGACGAGTTCATGGAGATGTGCAGGAAATCGAGATCGAACTGCTTTTCTGCTTCTCTCTTTAAAACACATCCAGATTCAGGCGCTCGATCCTATCCTTTTTGCTGGTGGGACCTCGGCCCCTGGTCTCTCTAGCACTGACGGCGCGAGGGCGCAGGCTCACAGCCCGCAGTGTGCCGCGCAGTTGGGGGACTGAAGAGGAGGTACCTTTCCTCTTTCTATTGGGGCCACAGATCTGGAGTAACATGGGGAAGGTCGCAGGCTCGACCCCGGTCGGTCATCCTCCCTTATACGAGTCTGGTTGGCGTTAGGCTCACACCCCACGTACTTGTCCCCCAGCCAGGCACATACTTCGCATGAGAAGCTGTGATACCACCCACGGGAGTGTTCGAGTGTACAGAGGGAAGGCCCTATTCAATGGTGAGGGGGAGGGGGGGGTAGAGGGAGCATCGTTCCACTGAGGCACCATCATTGGGGGGGTGAGGTCCTGTAGGGGGCAATTTGCAGAAACTGAGGGTTGTCCTATGTTGATGTGTCGGGGTTCATGTCCCGTTCCTGGTAGGTAGGTCTGGACCCGTGATGGGTGGCTAGGTAGTTGTACCCGGTCATTGACAAGGGTACCTGTGGAGTGCTTACAGAGAATAGGGGACACTGACTTACACATCAGGCTGCGTGCGGACTATATACACAGCAGGAATACACATACAGGGTTACTGGTGAGGCTGAGTGCGGACTTACAGTTGAGGATGAGTACAGAAACATATACATAGTAAAAATAAAATAAAATTGAATTAAATTAAAAAGACAGATTTCAGTAGGAATACAGGCATAGGCTTACGTACAAGACTGAATGCAGATACAACAGTAGGGGAATGCAGACTTGCACTGATGAGCTGATATATATAATATAATAGCCATATATATGGATGTGCCAGGTGGGTGCGGGGGTACCTAGGACGGGACTGAACGCAAACATTAAAAAAAAAAAAAAAAAACACACAACTCTGAAAAAAACTATATGTTGTGTAGAATAACAGTACGAACAACTTTTGCCTTGGAGTCATCACCAAATTCTTAGCCAAACGTGAGTTAAACCACCAGGGGCGAGGTCCCACTAGCAACGGGATAAGATAGAAATGAGTTTGTGGGGCAGTTGAGTGACCCAAATCCTGCCGTGCAGTACTTGTGATCCCACCGTCAGTATCTTACATGTATTACCCAAAAAAGTGATCCCACGGTCAGTATCTTACATGTATTACCCAAAAAAGTAAGGAGATCTTTTTTACCCTCCTCCTCTCCTTAACGTTGGGCATGCCCTTGCAAAGAAAGCTTCCTGCCAGAATCTTTTCAATCGGTTGGGGGTGTGGCCAACCCCAAAGGAGGGTGGGGTTGGCCTTAGGCCCACTGGATATAAGATTTTCAGTATTTTCCTTCCTGTTGTGCAATTATCTCATTGGGTGGAGCCCTCCTTCAATAAGGGCGTATATGGAGGGTATCAGGATCAGTGCGGACAAAAGTCAAGTTTATTCCAGATATTGTGGCGGTTACTTTGTTCACTGTTGTTGCAACCACCACCATCAGATCATTTGTGATATGAAGGCTGGAAAGCACTTTTCCGTGATTTTCGATGGGAGGTCTTTTTTTTTTTTTTTTTTTTTTTTTGCGTTTCTCCTGTTTTCTCAGCTCGGAAATTCGTAATGAACCTGTCTGGTTGCTGCCACCCAGTGCCAGACTGGATCGGCCACACTCCTATCTGATTGCTAATGGGACCTCGCCCCAATACTTGGCCCTACTATGCAGGTCGACCCTCGGTCGCCCTATATGCCAAGGGGGCCGAGGTTATTCATACCAGTCACAGGAGAGCCCGACCTTGGAAGAACCAGAAGCTTTAAACCACCACTACCTCCAAGCCTGTTCTTGTTGACCTTGATTTTCGCTGCGCACTGAGTTTTGCCAAGCCTGGGTTCCGTTTTGTTTCTTTCCTGGTATTCTCCTAAAAAAAGTAAAAAAAAAGCAAGCAAGCACAGCCAGACTTTCAAAAAACGACCCGCTCGAACCCCGAAAGCAAGCAAGCACTGCCAGAGATAATATTTTTTTATTTTTTTTTCGGGATCTTCCTTCATCCTTGCACGATTGAGCTACCCGGAAAAATAGGGTGACCCGGGTAGCCTAAACAAACTTTGAAAAAATATATATTATGCAGACAAATTTCTTACGTAATTTGAAATAAAAATAAAATACGAAAAATAAATAATAAAAATAAGAAAAAATCAAAAACATTAAAATCAGTGCATGGGCGGACACGTTTTAAACACCTCAATCTTTGGCGATTTTTCATTTTGTTCTTCCTTAGTCAAATGCCCTGAAAATATATAGATGTGTATCTCGCATGATTCAAAACTCATAAATTATTTTTCAAAAATAATAAAATTAATTAGATCCCGAAATAAAGTGATATAAAAAGTAAAAAAATAACAAAAATAAAATAGCGAGTGGACGAGCACGTTTTAACACCGCCATCTTTGACGATTTTTCATTTTGTTTTAGAAAGGCAAAATTCCTCATAAATTAAAAAAACATGTACCTCACATCATTAAAAAAAATAATAATAATAAAAAAATTATGACTCAAAATATTTTTGGCGGGGACCGAACCCGGACAAGACTCCAAACGTTCGAACGTATGGAGGTCGGCCTAAGGCCCTTTATACGTATGGGTTGGTAAGGATATTATGTATATATGTCATTATATGGTATATAATATATATATATATAATATATACATATATACAGGGTTGTCGGCGTTCGGGACGGGCCGAACACCCGAACCCCAGCACCCGAACGTACGAGACCCCTTCGGAAGGCGTTCGGCCATTCGGGCCGAAACCGAACACCCGAACCCCAGCACCCGAACGTACGAGACCCCTTCGGAAGGCGTTCGGCCATTCGGGCCGAACGCGAACCCAAAAAA